TCTCGCTGACAGCCTAATGCTGAGACCCTAGGCCTAGTGCTGGCTCGATAACACATGTGCTAGCATCAATCCGAACGTAGCCCTCTATTTCCTTTCACCTGCCCTTTCTAGCTGCACACCCCATGGAGCTCTGGCCTTTCTCCCTCTCCAAACCCTAACTCTAACCCTGACATCAGCTGTCAGCCTAATGCTGAGGCACCCAGGCCTAGTGCTGGCTCAATAACACATGTGCTAGAATTAATCCAAACCAAGCGCTACATTTCCTTTCATACGCCTTTTCTAGCTGTACTCCCCCCGAGGCTCTAGGCTTTATCTCTCTCGTATCCCTACCTCTAACCTTAAGCCTAACCACACCTGTCAGTCAAATGCTGCGGTCCTGAAGTCTAGTGCTGGCTCGAGAACACGTCCCAGAATTAATCTGAATGTAGCCCTCTATTTCCTTTCGCATGCCTTTTCCAGCTGCACACCCCATGGAGCTCCAAACTTTCTCCCTTTCCATACCCTAACTCTAGCTATCAGCCTAATGCTGAGACCCCAGGACTTGTGCTGCCTCGACAACACATGCCCTAGAACTAATCCGAATGTAGCGCTACATTTCCTTTCGCATGCCTTTTCCAGCTACACTCCACACAGGGATCTAGGCTTTATCTCTCTCTTACCCCTACACATATCCCTACATCTAACCCTACCCCAGCTGTCCGCCTAATGCTGAGGCCTCCTGGACCAGTGCTGGCTCTAGAACACGTCCTAGAATCAGCACAAATGTAGCGCTACTTTTCACAGGAACTTTCTAGCTGCACACCCCATGGAGCTCTAGATTTTCTTCCTTTTCTAACACTAACCTTCACTCTACACCTAACCCTAGCTGTCAGCAAACTGCTGAGCCCCCCAGGCACATTGCTCGCTCTAGAGTACGTCCCAGAATTAATCTGACTGTAGCCCTATACTTCCTTTCGCATGCACTTTCTAGCTGCACACCCCTTTGATTCCTAGCCTTTCCCCCTCTCCATGGCCTAACCCCAATCCTAGCTGTTCAACCTAATGCAGAGGCCCCCAGGCATAGCGCTGGCTGAAGAACATATGTCCTAGAATTTATCTGAATGTAGCCCTCTCCTTCTTTTCGCATGCCCTTTCTAGCTGCACACTACATGGAGCTCTAGGCTTTCTCCCTCTCCAAACCTTAACGCTAGCTATCAGGCTAATGCTGAGACCCCAGGACTTGTGCTACCTCGAGAACACATGTCCTAGAATCAGCCCGAATGTAGCGCTACATTTCCTTTCACGTGCCTTTTCCAGCTGCACTCCCCATGGGGCTCTAGGCTTTATCTCTCTTATCACTATACATACCCCTACATCTAACCCTAACCCTAGCTGTCCGCCTAATGCTGAGGCCCCCAGGCCCAGTGCTGGCTCCAGAACACATGTCCTAGAATCAATCCAAACGTAGCACTACTTTTCCTTTTGCATGACCTCTCTAGCTGCACACCCCATGGAGCTCCAGGCTTTCTTCCTCTCTTAACGCTAACCTTCACCCTACACCTAACCCTGGCTGTCATCCAAACGCTGAGCCCCCCAGGCATATTCCTCACCCCAGAATACATGTCCCAGGACCAAGTGGAATGTCACCCTCTATTTCCTTTCGCCTGCCCTTTCTAGCTGCACGCCCCATGGAGCTCTTGCCTTTCTCCCTCTTCCAAGTGTAGCCATAACCCTAACCCTAGCTGTTCAGCCTAATGCCGAGACCCCGGGCCTAGTGCTAGCTTGAGAACAGGTATCCTAGGATCAATCCGAATGTAGACCACTATTTCCTTTTGCCTGCCCTTTCTAGCTGCACACCCCATGGAACTCTAGCCTTTGTCCCTCTCCAAACCCAATCCCTAACACTAACCCTGTCAGCCGAATGCTCAGGCCACTTGAAAAGGCATGTGAAAAAAAATGTAGCACTACATTCAGATTGATTCTAGGATGTGTGTTCTGGAGCCAGCACTAGGCCTGGAGTCTCAGCATGAGGCTGACAGCTAGGGTCAGGGTTAGCGTTTGGAGAAGGGGAAAGTCTGGAGCTCCATGGGGCTTGCAGCTAGAAAGGGCCGGTGAAAGGAAATAGAGGGCTACATTTGGACTGATTCTAGATCATGTGTTCTGAAGCAAGCACTAGGCCTGGGGACCTCAGCATTTGGCTGACAGCTAAGAGGAGGTTTAGGAGAGAAAGAAAGCCTGGAGCTCCAGTGGGAGTACAGACAGAAAGGGCATACAAAAGGAAATAAAGGGCTACATTCCAATTAATTCTAGGACACGTGTTCGTGAGCTAGCAATGGGCCTGAGGCCCCCGGCACTAGGCTGAGGCACTATGCACTAGCTAGAGGTTAGGGTTACAGTAGGCATAGGAGAGAGACAAAGTCTAGAGCTCCGTGGGGAGTGCAGCTAGAAAAGGCAGGCGAAAAGAAATGAAGTGCTATATTCAGATCGATTCTAGGACATGGGTTCTCGAACCAGAACTATGCTTGGAGGCCTCAGCTTTTGGCTGACTGCTAGGGTTAGGGTTTGGAGAGGAAGAAAGCCTAGAGCTCCGTGGGGTTTTAGAGCTGGAAAAGGCCATGCAAAAGGAAACGTAGCACTACATTCAGATTCATTCTAGGACGTGTTCTCGAGGCAGCACTAGGCCTGGAGTTTCAGCATTAGGCTTACGGTTAGTTTTAGGGTTAGGAGAGAGAGCTCCATAGGGGATGCACGTATAAAGGGCATGCAAAAGGAGATAGAGGGCTACAGTAGTATTAATTCTAGGACACGTGTTCTCAAGTCAACACTAGGCCTGGGGGCCTCAGCATTTTGTCAGACAGCTAGGGTTAGGTTTAAGGTTACAGGTAAAACAAGGAGAAAGCCTAGAGCTCAATGGGACACGCAGCTAGAAAAGCACATGTGAAATGAAAGAGAGGTCTACATTCAGACTGATTCTAGGACGTGTTCTCATGGAAGCACCAGGCCTGGGGACCTCAGTATTTGGCTGACAGCTAGGGGTTAGGGATAGGGATATGAAAGTTAAATCCTAGAGTATCATGGGGAGTGCAGCTGGAAAAGGCATGTGAAAGGAAATGCAGCACTACATTTGGATTGATTTTAAGACATGTGTTCTCAAGCCAGCACTAGACCCAGGGTCTCAGCATTAGGCTGACAGCTAGGGCTAGTGTTAGGGTTAAGAGAGGGAGATAGCCTAGAGATCCATGGGGAGTACAGCTAGGAAGGGCATGTGAAAGGAAATGTCATGATATACTGAACTTTTTTCTGGTATAATATTTTGCCTTGCGCCTGCACTACACGCAAGGGCATACAGAGCTTCTAGACAGAATTCAGATTGCTACGGTTGGGATGAACAGAGAGTGATAGCCGAGAATCTCCTGGGCAGTCTGGATCCTCCAGTCTGGAGGAGGAGCCAGTGTCTGTGGCCTGCACACCTGAAAAGATGTGAGCATCTAAGGTGGATAAGAGCCAGATATCCAGTGCCTCTGCACAAGCACAGCAGTCAGCATCCATGGTTTGTGCCACAGAGAAGTGATCGTGTAGAGGCTCGTCCCAGAGAATGTCCAGGTTCTGTGCCCTGGAGAAGCAGCAAACATCTGGGGCCTGTGGTCTGGCAAACACCAGGATGTTTCAGAACTGCACCCTGTAGAATGAGTCAATGTCTGCGTTCTGTGTGCTGGAGGAGCCAAGAATGTCTCTGCGTTGCATGAGGCACGAAAGTCTGTGGCCTTCATGCTGCAGAAACAGTCAAGGTCCGCAGCCGGAGCGCTGCAGAAACAGCCACGGTCTGCAGCCCACGCTACACGGTAGTGGCACCTGTCTGCTGCCTTCGAGTTAGAGGAGCACCTAATGTCAGCCACGTGCACGTTGGAAAAGGAGTGTTGGAGGTGTGTGGGCTATGTGCTGCATGAAGGGCAGAGGGGAATACGCTGTGTGCTGGAGGAGCGGCAGAGGTGCAGAATTGAGATGCTAAAGGAGTAGATGTGCACAGGCCACATGCAGGAGGAGTGCCTGAGGCAGCTGTGTTTGTGAAAGGAAAAGGTCACATGCCCCTTACACCTCTCAAATTACCTTCTAATTTCCCAAGACCTCAGCTGTTTGGGCTAAAAATCCACTAGGATTCTTCCCACCCGGTGAACTCCCTTTCTTTTCCCTCCTTTCCTTTCGTTGCCTAGACAGGATGCAATCATTTCTGCTCACAAGGAAGACAACGGTGCAAGATACGTTATTCCTTCAGGTTGAAGGCATTGTGGATGCTGAACATCCTTCCGGTTGAACACATTCCCTGAAAACCAAACAAGTAGTACACTCAATAGTAAATATCCAAGGGCACCCACTCTTAGCTACTACACAGGACATCCCTCATCACCTTCTACCAGAAATCCGCTCCAACAGCTCTCTGCAAGGATGGACCCTGCTGGCTACCACAGGGTCTGACCCTTGAGATACCTGCTTGTAACAGAAACCTGTAGAATGCCTTCTGCTCCACCAGAAAGCTCTGCTCACCCTTTACTTTTGGATTTAGGAAACAGTAAGGGAGCAGTATGTCTCTTTCTGTGTGAAGAGAGATCATGCAACAGGTGAACTTCCACTACTGTGGCTGCAATTCCCAGATCCATTATCAACTCTTTCGTAAAAAGAAAGAAGGGAGGGAGGAAGGAAAAGAGGGAAGGAGGAAAGAAAGAAATATTCCGCAAGCAATTAAGCCATTTTTATGTGGCTTAAAACTGACAGACCTTATTGGCAGAAAAGCCTGAGGATCCCCTGCGTTTGCTCTCTCCTTCAGAAGTGGTATGACCGGCATCAGCCGCCAACGGCCTCAGCCGCCACAGGAGCCGCCCCCCAGTGACGCCATTTTAAAGGGGCTCCTCCCGCCCGCGCGGAGCGGCCCAACCGCCGCGCATGGGCACGGAAGGGCCGCCCAGCCTACCGCGTGGTGCATGCTGGGACTTGTAGTCCCGCTGCGTGGGCCGCAGGCCCACTACCGCCGCGGTGCCCGGCGTGCAAAGACTCCATTTCCCGGCAGGCCCCGCGCGGCGGCGGGGGCGGGGCGGGCGGGGGGAGGCCGTCCGGCGCGGACATGGCGGCCGATGGGGACGTGCTGCAGCGGGACCTTTACGGTCTGCTCGGGGTTGGGGAGAACGCGTCGGAGAAGGAGGTCAGGAGCGGGGCTTCCGCGGCGCCGGCGGAATATGCAGCATACACTGCGCGATATGTTGTGTTTTTTTGGTTTGATTTTGTTGTTTGGGGTTTTTTTGGGGGAGAGAAATTACGTATTCCTCTAATTTAATGGCCAAGTCAACGTTATAGATATCCAGAAGGCCCCCAAGGTTGAAGAGCACTGGCCTATTCAAGCGCAGTTAAGACGTGCTGAGTAAAGCCATGATTAGCCGAACAGGTTAAACTCGAGCCAAGAACTTTGTTGTCCTCTGTTGAGGAGTTTTGTTTCGTTTTTAAAGCCGTGAACCCCAAATGAGGTGAAGGGCTTCGGCTGAGCTCAACCTCGCTGCTAAATGAGAAGAAAAATAGAGAGAAATTGCAACCTGTGTGATACAGTGTAACCTAAAAATTGGCAAGTGTTTGTGGTTTGACCCAATGTAAGATACTTGAAACAACCTAGAAGAGCTTAATTTTCAGGGAAGCATCACCAAAAGAGTAGAGCAAAGCTTACCTAATGCACATAGACTCTCTTTGCAGGGAACTTGCCTGTGGAGGAGGTATTGGCCTGTGATGTTTCTGCTGAACATCTAACAACCCTCAGTTTTGTACACTAGGTGGTGCTGAGCCACCGCTTATTTCCTGCGGTCAAATGAAGACTCCGTGGCCGTTGGAGCTTTTATTTTATTTCGCCTTTAGTTTCTTGCATGCAGATGTTTCCTCTGATAAAGAAAACTTGTCAATTTTGCTTTGAAATGTAGATGAGATTTGATAGTCCTGGGTCAAAACGTTTTCAGCTGCCAAACTCAATTGCTGTGCAATGTTGTACATATTTTGTCCCAAGTAGTGGTAGCTGTGAGGAATGCTGTATCTTTCTGACTAGGTAGAAAACTGTGTTTCAGCCTTGGTCTTGCTGAGTGTGGCTGCTGTAATGCTATGCGCCTAAAAGTAAAACTTCTGGCCTTAAAAAGTTCGAATTGATTAAAAGTGTGACCGCCTGCTTAACTAAACAGGCTGAAATGGTTATCCTTTCAGTAGAGGGTGATAAAAAGGGCAGATCACTGCACTGGGGCTGAAAATTGAGTTTCCTTAGTCTCTTGCTATTGCAGGAGGCGCCTTCATTTTCTTACATCTGAGAGACCACTGGCTCTCCAGAAAAGACTTTTATTTTCCAGCAGGCCCAGGGGGCTTCTAGTCATGCAAATAAATATTGCCTCAACTACAGTCTTCTGCTTCTCACAGAGAGGTGTGTTTTGTGTTGAGGAAAACCGAACTGCACGGCACGCTCCAAGCAGGGTGGGCTCTCTGCATTCCTGTGGTGCAGTTTTCCAAGTTGTGTTTCTTGACGCAGACAGAACCTCCTCCACAGCGAATCCTCTGCTGTGGCTCTTACAGGTCAAGAAAGCGTATCGCCAGAAGGCCCTGACGTGTCACCCGGATAAGAACCCGGACGATCCCAAAGCAGGTGAGATTGGAGCTGGTCTTGCCTGATCTGCACATGCAGACACCTCTAGGTGACCCTGTTTAATCCCGAGTCTGTCTTTGTTAAGAGAATACCTGGTTTTGTGTTATGTCATGTGTAATATGCAGGATTAAGAGTTATTTTAGTTGCCAGGTTCCTCTGGATTTTAAGATTAAATATATAAATGTTGGCTTTCAACAGCCCAAGTGTTAAGTGAATGCTGAAATTTTATTTGTACCTTCCTAAATCTTCCCATCTGGTACTTGAATCCTGGACCATTTGCCGTGTTGTCACTGACTGGCTGCTCGTGCCTTTAATTCATACTTCTCAAAATCAAAGCTTCAGTAGAAAGTTTATTCATCATTATTTTATATGGACAAGCTCTTTGCAGCTGAGTAAGCTGTTAGCAAGGTTTGGGTATTCTGCACTTCTCCATCTCCTTTCCTGTGGATGAAAAGGAACAGCAGCAGCAACTCAGCAACTGGAAGGATACAGTTTAACAAGACACTTCAAAATAAACACATCAGTCTGTATTTTGCACTTTCCAGTTTGACAGACCACAGATTTTTAGTCTGATATTGTGTAATTGTAGTGCAGAGACTGCCAGCAGGAAACCAAAGATTTTACAGTAATTAGAGCAAAGCTGAGAGTTGTGATTATCTGCAAAAAGTGTGGAGGTGGTTTGGTGGAAGTGTATGGCCTCCAGCTAGTAAGCATATCCCTGCAGAAGGAGGGTCCGCAATATCAATGTAAAACAGAATGTTTGGATCTTGGGTTGAAAAGGTATTAATCCAAAATGGAGAATTTCTCTCCAACACAGTGTTTCAGACTGACTGCAGGTTCAGGAATGTATTTGTGTATGGGCTCTATTCAATTCATGTTTTCCACACATTTCTTGTAATGGTACCACCATTTGTTTTTTACTGAAGTTTAGATAGTTATGTTGATCTTTCAACTGGGGAGGTCCTGACTGTGAGTTCGCTTGAAAATGCGTGGAAAATGGAAAGGTTATTCTTTTTTCTGACATTTTGCAGGTCTCTTCCATAAGGGATTGTCTTTTCTGGTTCATCTCCAGACTGCTAGCATGGTTTTCTGCATCTTACCCTTTTTTCTTCTAATTCCCAGCGGAAATCTTTCACCAACTATCTCAGGCCTTAGCAGTGCTAACAGATGCGGCAGCAAGGGTAAGGATGCCTCTCTCTTGGTGGGAGTGTGTGGTTTCTCTGTGAAAGCCTGGTGGGGAATTGGTGAAAAATCTCTTCTTGTCTGTCGTATTCTCTGCTCTCTTCTCTGACTGAGGCTTCGTGAATGCAAGTCTCATCTATTATGCCCTGTATCTCACTGGGAGATCAAAGAGTATCCACCAGATAAAAGCTTAGGCAAAATGTGCTTAGTCTAATCTGATGTTCCTCTGTGTGGTTCTGTCCATTTACTGATGAGATACTGTGTTTAATTATGTGTTAAACTGAGACATGTCCCACTTTAAAAATAAAGAAATATTCACCACAGAGATTAAGACACACATTAAATTCCTGTGGCATCATTGCATTTGCAGTTCCCATGAATAAACCTTTTATGCAAAGTGAACTTTGTTTATTTTAAAACTTTGCTCTAAGCCAGAACTGACCCATCATCAACAGGTATAAAAGAAGTAATGATTCCATGCCTTCCAGAAGATGACATTTCTTTGCCAATGTTACCAGTGCTCCCACAGCCACTTTTGGCTATTTGGGAACTCAAAATATTCTTCCCACCTGTAAATTTTCTCTCTAATCTGCTTAGCAGGTATTCCTAGACTTTTGGCTTTCCTTTCAGGCTCAATCTGGAAACCCTTGGACCTCTTTTATTGTTTTCAGGATATTTGTGTTAACCTCGAGTGTTTTTAGGAAGAATGCTAAAAAGAAAATGCTTCACCTCTGATTAGCATTTAAGTATCTGATCTCTCCTTTATTCATCTCTTTGTGTTCTATCCCCCTTGCTTTGCATAATTTCACACTCTTCTGTTGGTTCTTTGACAGGCAGCATATGACAAAGTGAGAAAAGCCAAGAAGCAAGCAGCAGAAAGGACACAAAAGCTTGATGAGAAGCGGAAGAGAGTAAAACTTGGTAATGAAATCGAAACTTCATTTTGGCTTGACCTATTCCGTAGCTGAGTGTTTGCATTTCTTCCACCACTGAACTCACCACTGATCATTAAACTGCTATCCATTTCTAATGGCTATGTTCTTTTATGCCTAGTACAATGTAGTAGCTATCAGGACTCTATTTTGCATTTCAGTCCAGCTCTGTAGACTACAATGGCAACAGTGAAAATTCTCTTTGTATGTTTTAATTTTTTATTCTTGTTTGCAGATCTTGAAGCCAGGGAACGAGAAGCCCAGGCCCGTGAGAATGAAGAGGAGGAGATCTGGATAACAAGAACACTAGAACAAGAAGTAATGATGAATTTGTGGATTTTTATGTTGTTTTTGAGAAGAATTGTTGGAAGGCTTTGCATCTCTCATGAAAACCGTGTGATGCTGTGTGACTGCAAACCTGAGTGTAGCAGTTTTTCAGTCTTTTGAAACATGGGTGTTACGGACCAGAGAGAGAGGCCTGCCCGTGGAGGGGTCTTGCAGCAGTCTGGCAAACATGTCAATTGCAAATACATTATTTTTATTAAGTCCCCACTTTTCCAGCACAGAAAGAGTAACAGCTGATTACTTGTATGCTAGCTGATAGGGAACATGAGCAGTCCAATCAGTATGTGAGCAGTGGGGCTAGCACAGGGCAAGCAGCTGGAATTTGCCTTGGGAGACAAGCTTAAGACAAGCTGTCCCTGTCAGCACTACAATTTTAGCCTGGTGTGACCCAACCATTAAACCCTGCCCTGAGATATTTGTGCTGTCCTACCTGTCCTGTAGATAATACGCCTTCGTGAAGAAGGCTCCCGTCAACTTGAGGAGCAGCAGAGACTCATTCAAGAACAGATCCGACTTGAGAGAGAGCAGCGCATCAAAGGTGAGGATAGGAGGAGCCTGAAGCCCTTAGCTAAACTGTGTGCCCACAGGACTCCATTCAGCTGCAGGCAGAGCTCGCTTGTGGATGCAGCTTCTGACCTAGTCACATCGCCACACAGACGTCCCCTGCTTTGCACCTTATTTTCAGAGACGAGTCAAAAGACTAATTCTTGAATGTTTCTTCCCATACGTGGCATGTAGCCCTTTCACATTTTGTTGGCTGCTCCTTTGCAACAAATACGGGCGTTTATCTTCTAAAGCACTGAGCCTCGGTGAGAGAATGTGGAGCCCCGCGGTTGTGCTGGGAAGGATGCCTAATGTTGTAGTCATCTGATTGTCACAATCAAAGTAATTAGCCTTGCATACTAAAAATAGAGACCAGTTCAAATTTGCAAACAGTGACAGTTGTCATTGGGTTTGCTTATTCTGCATCTTGTTTACAATCATGAGTCTATATCATCCAAAGGAGACTCGGTAAGAGAATCTATGGTTGCTGGGTTTTGCTTCCTGGAACTTGTTTCTCCCATGGTTTCAGGGCATATATACATTGCTAATGCCTTTTAGGTGAGAAAAGTCTTTACTTGTGGCGTTTCTATATTTTTTCTTTCTCTCTCTTTAGGCAAATACGAGGGAAATGGAGCAGAAGGCAAAATAACCCCCAAACTCAAAGTAAGATGTGCCTATAAAGCTGGGGTTTGGGTGAAAACTGACAAAACCCTTGCAGCTTTAGAAGCAGAATTGACACCTCAACTCTGTTGCTGAGCTGTCATGGCCCTTTATACAGAGGAGGTGAAGTCCCTCTATCTAGTGTGCAAACAACTCCTGTCACTGACTGTAAAACATCCTTCCTACCTCCCACTTCTTTTTCTCTTTACTGTTCAATCTAGACTTTTGAGCCTACATTTGAATAGTCTCTGTTTTAGGCACTGTGGAACATCCGCTTTGGCTTATTACCTTAATATAGCCATTATTATGAGGTATGAGCTTCTTTTATTCCAGTGAGGAGTCTTTCTTCTTGTTACCCCAATAGTTTATTCCCTTTGCGTGTTCTGATGGTGAAATCACCATCCTGGCAATGCTGGGGTTGTAAGCTGCAAAGAGTCAACGTGATCATTCTGCAGGTGGTAAGAGTTGCATTCAGTGTGGCAATGTGTGTTGAGCAAGACAATATTAACCTGTCACATTTATTTCCCAGCTAAAATGGAAGTGCAGGAAAGAAGATGACACAAAAGGGGGATATTCAAGAGATGTTCTGATGCGGATCCTGCAGAAGGTCCTGTCATTCTTTATTACTTCATCTTTCCCTTTTCTTAAGCCATAAAAAGGATAGTAAATTTTGTTAAGCTCTATAAAAAAGAGTAGCTAATTTTCTTTACTGTTGTTCAGTTTTCTCACTCGTGCCATTTTTCAGAGATCATCAGCTGTGAGGCAGGAATAGATGAGAACCCATGATCAGATTAATCCCAGCATATGTTTTTTATTTTCACTTTATGAGAGTATCTGCTGTAGCTCAAACTCTTGAGCTCAACAGTCATCCTGCTCTTTAGCCTGCCAGAAGGCAGGTGTTTAAACACAAACCTCCCCCAAATCCTGTCTTGAAGGAGCAGAAATGTCAGGGGTCCGTGACATGTCAGGGTCCATGAACGCACAGAAAGGGCGACAGCTCAAGCTTTAGGTCTGCGGAGAGGCTCATTTTCTCCATGTGTTCTGAGATGTACTTTGCTTCTCGTCTGAGTGTGTTTTTCTTTCTTTTTTTTTTGTTCATGCAGTATGGTGATGTGCTCAATTTGTTGATCTCAAGTAGGAAGACAGGGAGTGCGGTGGTGGAATTTGCTACGGTTAAGGCTGCTGTAAGTCTGACGGAGACCACAAATATGCTCAGTGGAGAGTGGAAAAGAAGAGGTGTTGCATGAGGGAATGATTAGCAGATTGGCAGCCTAGAACCACTGCTTTGTCATAAAGGCCATGGAGAAGGGTAACGAGAGTCCAAAGGTACAGATGCATGAAAGGAGTAGCAAAGCTCAAGGCATAAAGCCAGGGCAGATCGTGCATGTAGACAAGCAGGCACATGTAAATGGCTGAGGAAAGTGCTGCTGCTTTAAAGAGCAGGCACGGAGCTATTTAGCCAGCTCTGAGGGTTAATTACCTGTTTTGGTGGTGGGCATAATGAGTTTTAGAGGTTCTATCAGGCATCAGCAGATTTGAAGAGGGGGGGAAAAATCCAAAATGTTTTGACTCACTGTAAGTTATAATCATTCCTGTGGCGGTGGAAAGAAAATCATCAGTTACCCTTAATTTTGCTAGTTCCGTCAATTTAAAATTATGCTATGCAAGAGTCTGTCTCTATTCCTTGTCACCTGCTCTTTCACTTGTATATCCAAATAATCAAAGTATGTCAAAATCAATATCTGTGCTCTTTTTATTAAATAACTTGTGGCAGTGATATGCCCTTTTGTTCTTGATGCAGTTGTGGGCCTTAAAATGGGGTGCTCCTTATGTAGGGCAGCTGTGAAACCTGTGTTGGTTGCACCCTACCTGGCCTTGATTCAGCGCTGACATGAGGAAAGTCTTATAATTGTAATAGAGCTGCAACATAGTGTGTTCTAAAATTCAGATGGTGATGAAAGAATATTTTCATTGATAGGAGATGGCTGTGAAGAATGAAGTTGGCCTGATAAATAATCCTCTAAAGATTTCCTGGCTGGAGGGCCAGCCCCAGAATTATCCCAGCACTGTCCCCTCCAACAGTGCTAGTCAGCCGAGGACTTCAGAGGTAAGGAAAACACTGGCTGCTGTTGCTTGAATCTGTTTCTATAGCAACCTAAATTTAACAGCATGTTCTGTACTTGGCGTAAAACACACTGATTCCCAGCAGAGCTAGAAAAGAAGCTGTTGGGGAAAGGCTTTCGGATGAGTCTTTCTATGCTGAACCAGTGGCCCTTTTTAAATGACCTTCAGCTTGAGTAGCGGCGTGCTGGGGCACAAGCTATCTACATGAGTGTTTTTTTTCCAAAGTCTCTCTTCCAAGTGAAAAAGATGTTTCTTGCTCAGCCTGAAGCATCTACTGCCCCTTTTCTGTGGGTTTACTCTACTACATTTTGACTCTGTATCCTCCAGCTGATTCTGTATCTGCTTAGGGTCTCTGGAAGGGAAAGTAAATAGACAATTATTGTCCATTTTAGGTCTTTGTCACTGTTATTAATGGCTTTGGTAGACATGTTGAGTGCAAGGTGATTGTTAATCCATGTGGAGCTCTTGCTCTTGGGTAGCAAATGTGTTCCAAACACAACACAGATGAAAGACAATAACATCTAGTGGTTAAAACATAGAAAGCAGGTTTCTCCAGACTCTGAGGCCAGGCTGCAACAAATTGCTGGCTCTCAGCTGCCCTCTGCTCCTATTGACCCTTTGGAGTGGAAATTGTATTAATTTCCCTGAAACATGTTAAATTCAGTCTTGTAGAACAAAGTGTAAGGTTTTTTTTTGCTCTGCATTTTTTCTTCCTATTTCGTGATAATTTGATTGCCTAAGAGGTAGGATAGGGAGCCTAAGAGGTACCTCTAAGAGGTAAAGTAAGGTAAGAAGCCTGAGTTCCTTTGCTGGTTGTTTCAGTTCCAGTTCAAACTACGTGTGACACTCTTACACCACCCTAAGCGCTTTGGTTATAGGAGATGCCTTTGCACGCATCAGAATGCCTTGTTGCTGTCCCGGATTTCTTTAGGGCTGCTATATTTTCACTTGGGGTGCACATTTTCTAAACAACTTGGCCTCCAGCAGAGGACCTAGCAAAAGCCTCGTTTCTCAGAGGACCTAGCAAAAGCAGTTACAACAGTATAGCCCAGTAGGCACAGGGAGCAGAGCTGACTGTGTCTTCATGCACAGTGTAGAACCAGTGAGTTGTCACTCTGGATTCACCAAGGTGGCCAAAATGAATGAGTTTGAGTTTTCCTCACCGGTAGAGGACAAGAACTGTCTCTGAAGAGCTCATTTGTGTCCAAGGGGTAACTACTACATTTGCAGCTTGATAGTGGCTTCTTGCCTCTGAAACCTTGGCTGCAAACTGAGTTTGTCGTGGCGTGTTTCCGTGATCAAAGCTTGTCTGTGTGAAACTGCAGCATCTGCTTGCTGCGAGGGAGTAGCCTGGTGGAACAGCAAGGGAGAGTAGGTCGAAGTGACCAGTGGAGTTTGTGCTTTGTGGAAGCGGGGAGTCGTGTCTGTCAGCTCCATAATTCTCATCTCGGCTCTTGACATGGTGAGGACTTAACAACCACAGATTTATATCTTTTCCTAGGAATCACAATTCTGGTGCTCATCTGTCATTTCTATGGTTTTTGTGTGTAAGCAACTGCTTTTTTTTTTTTTTTTTTATTACATTGTACTATCAGACCTGGCTAAAATCTCTAGACTACTCCGATTCCTTCATTTCTTGCTCCTTTCCTATCCCAGGGCCTCTCCCAAATCCTGTTCCTGCTTCCACTAGGATGTTTCCATATTGATAATTTGTTAATCACTTTTCTTGGCTGTGTTTCTTCTAAATCTTTGTCCTCAGCTCTTCTTTTCTTATCCATTCTATCCAAGATGAAGACATTCAGAGACCTTCCTTTTGCCACCGCCCTGGCCCGCTTCTTCTCATCTTCTCCTTTCATATCCAGTCTGGCTTCCTATTCACTTTCAGGTTCTCCTCCGGCTCTGCACAGGTGTCTTTTAAGCTGCCCTTGCTTCCAATTTCCGCTTCTCCTGGATAGCTCCCATTTCTGTCTGATTCCACCCCCTGTTTGTTCCCACTCTGTGCAAGGGCAGCTTCCTCCCCATTTCCCTTCAGAAAACAGCCCAGGAGCTGCAATGTTCTCATGGCAGCACTCTTGCTACTTGTCTGCTTCGGAGCTGCGTGTACTCCCTGCCTTGGGTAGTCGGCCAAAAGCAGTGCACCACATTCCTCAAATAACAGAGAGCCACATACGCTCAGGCCAGGGGAGCTTTTGGAAGCAGTTCCCAGGTGAGATTGAGGCTGTCTCCTGAAGGACCCTGCTGTGAGAAGATAATGTTGGCCCCTATGGTCCTTGCTGGCTTATTTCCTCACACAGCCAAGGACAGTGTCCAGCAGCTCCTGAAGAGCTGCCAGAGCGAAATGGGAGGCTTGCACTTGAACTGCAAGAGCTGAAGGTTGTCCATGGTCACCTCTAATCTGACAGCAATGACCATGGGATTGCCATCCTGTGGCCCTGGGTGGTGCAGGACACACCACAGAGGTGTAACGCCATGAGGAGCGTAGCCTGACGCTACAACGGCATGAAGTGCTCCTTCCTGAGAACTATCTTCAGTATTGGTGTCCTACTACCAGTGTCCCCACTCGCTTGGGGCCATCTGTTCAGGCATGCTGAGAAAAGCTTTCACTCTGGCGCTGTCTTGTGTCTTCTCTAAGCTCCTTTGAGGCTGCAGCAAGCTTGGTTTGTATTATCTGCCTTTACAGCCTGGTGTGAATTTGGCAGGTCAAGGGCTGTCTGTATCTTGGACATCTCGGAATGTCTCTGCGCATTGCTGTTGCCTCTTTCCAAAGCTTATAATTATCTACCTGTTGTTTTCTTTTACAGGAATGAATGGAGAATAGGGGGGAATTGCTTGTTTTAAATAGCCCTGATACGTAATTCAGGTGTAAGCTAAGGCTCGGTGACCCAGCAGCTTCTACAGTGTCATTTAAGCAGCACATCCTGACCCTGTCTGAAGTATTCTCAGCCTGTCAGAGCTCTTCCTGCTCCCAGCTTAGAGCTGAGGAGCTGGGTTCAGCTCAGCACTGAGTCTGGATTCCTAGCTTTGCGTGCCCTCTCCTGCTCAGGGGAGGAGAGCAGCCTGCCAGCAGCACCAGCCTTCTCCCAGCACGCAAAAACAGCAACCTACTGCTTCTGCACCCACCTTGTGAAAACCTGAGGAACCAGAGAGGACAAGCCTTGGTCATTACAGATCAAGGGATCTGTGCTCTTGATGCCAGGGTTGTGGTTTTTTGTTTTTTTTGTTTTGTTTTGTTTTCTGGCTTGCTCCCAATGAAATGAGGCAACAAGACACTTCCAATCACAGATACATTTATTCTTTTATATCTGTACAGCTGGTAGATCAGCGCATGCTTCAAGCAGCAGTATCTAGAGAACTTTCTCCTGGTAACAGACAAATAAACTGCTGTTGCTATTTCTTGAGCTTGTATGGAGGCTTACCTGTTTCCAGGCTAGGAGTGGCATCTGCACTTGAATTAGAGGAAAAGAAAGCTACAAGGAGTTTTAAAAAAAAAGAGGAGTATCTTTGACTTTTGCATCCAAATGTGGTGGGAGAAAAAACACCAGTATCTGTTTCTTGACCCTTGCTATGGCTGTGGCTTTGAGATAGCAGCACAACTGTTCTCTTTCAAGTGACACAGATGATGTATGCCACATCCCTTTCTCTCCATGCTCCACAAAGTCACAACCACATCCCGCAGACAAGTCCTTTGCCAAACAGGGTCATCCTTCCATGAGGAGAAGGTGCACAGTCACGTTTAGAAGGTTCCCCCTGCGGAGAATGGAGGCTCGCTGGTGAGGTTCCGGGGGACTCCTGTCATCCAGGCATGCAGCCTGACAGCTCTGCTCCAAAGGGCTCCTTAGCAGGGACGAGAACAGTCTGCGAGGGGTCAGGCAAGAACAACAAAACAGGCTACTTAGAACAGGGACGCTGCAGCATCCTTCCCCTTGTCAGGACTGGAGAAACTAGCAATGTCAGTAGGTAAATGTGATACATTAAGTGGGAAATACCTTCAAATGGCATAATCTCTTGGGTTCTGTTTTCTGAGGGTCTGCAGAACATCCTCAAGAAGCGATAGCCCCAAATCCACTTTGAAGGACAGAAGGGGATCAGACAGATCAGAAAGAGGTGTGCCGTTGCGGGAACCTGTCTCTGCGGTCCCACAGTCTGAAGCCTGATCTTTTTGGAAGTGAGTTTGAGTGGCTTTATGGTATTGATGAGCAGCACCAGAAAAGGAGATGTCAGAGTGAGAATCTGTGTGATCAATGATGTTAGGGCAGCTAGAACTGTCCAGGTAGAGCCGAGGAGGCTTGGGAGGTGCTTGTGCCTTGGCTAGGTTTTGCTCACTCTGACATGACAGGTAATCAGACTTGTCCTTCAGATCCCTTAAGCATTCCCTCTTCTGGCACTGTCCATCATTGTCCAGAGTGTGGCTGTTCTGATTCAAGATGATGACTTGATTGCCCAGCTTTTTGTGTCTCCTGAGTGAGAAGCGCCTGAAGAACGTGGAAGACTTAATGGACCCTCTCCGCCAGGTATCCATGCTGAGGAAAGGCGATTAAAAGAAGGGAGCTGCTGACTGCTCTACAGTCAGATGCTGGACCTCAGCTGCAGGATCAGCAACAAGTCACACAGAACAGGAACAACCTCTTCCTTCCTTGTTCCTGTAGCTGGAAGGAAAATAAAGAGGCTGGTATTGCAGGAAATGTAAACTTCTTCACACTACACCCCTGTCAGCAAGCAGTTGGCGTATCATATTTCAGGGAGTCTTTCTCTTCAGCAGAGAAGGAACGAGCTTACTGGATCTATGCTGCAGAAACAAGCTGATGGAGAGTAGCAGTAGCACACAGTCACCATGAGAACAGATTTAATCTAGCATCCAGAAACAGAAGGGCACGTTGGTGCCATGGTAACCAGCCACCTTCATGGTGAAGGGCACAGTGTAAAAATTTCAGTAGGTGGCTAGGAAGAGAGCCAGTGACTCAGTTGCACTGAAGGAAACCGAAGAAAAATACGGACAAATGGAAATGTAAAAAGCAGCAAAACAAACATGTAGCTAGCGTTAGGAAAATCAAATGCAAAAGAAAGACTTACTTTGTGCGGGAGCAGCACCTGGGTCCAACAGAGAAGAAACTGCTGAAGCACTTGGGGAAGCTGTGACCACGGTGTTCACCAGTGCGATGAGCCGTTGGGATAAACAAGTCTGGAGACAGTTCAGCCAGGTTGGACCCAGGACACTAAAAATCCGCCATGCCTCCTTCTCTTCATTTGCCTCCTGTCACTGCTTCCCAGGCTGCAGTTCCCTGTGCGTATGTATTTGTTTTGAGCCAAGCCCTTGCTGAGTCAGCCACGTCAGAAACTGGGTTTTACACTATTGGTAATTGCCAGGATTGCAGGAAGTAGGTGTGTGGAGCAGCAAAGCAGCAGCCCACACTCTGCCTCAGGAGCAGGCAGGCTCCCTCAGAGACATCCAGATTGCTTGAGAACCACCAACACGAAAGTCGACTTTTAGCCCATCTTGAATCAGACCATGATTCTCGTCTTGGTGCTCTTCCTGCTGTCACTTCTGATGGCTTGTTGCACCAGCAGGGCTCACAGAAGGCAGGCGAAGCGATCTCTTGTCTGTTTTAAATTTAAATCCAGAGTGTGAAGCAGTGATTCAGGTTTGTACAGGTGACTCATCTGCAGGAGTCTCATGTAGACTAGTTCATTCAGCCGGGCAGATGACAGTAAATATCTGTGGTTAATGGCCAGAAGCTTTGAAGAAACCTAGTTCTGCCACTGAGGGCTGATGCAGTCTGGCTCTCCCTCAGACACTGTGAAATTCCATGCTGCACAATACCAAAAGGTTATTTCATTCATGCAGTTGCTAAGATATCAGTTACAGTGTAACAATGTCTTTGCTTCCCAGGCTCCAAGGAGTTTTCAGATTATTGTGGGCTTCTACTTCGTCCTCACAACTAGTGCAGCTAGTTGTCCTCACAACTCTGCAGCTCGAGCAGCCACTTTGCTGGCATTTAATATCAAATTTGTGCTTGCCCTGCTTTCCTGCAGGATATTATTTTGCTATGCTAGTGGCTTTTCATCCTTTATGTCTTCTATTTAAAATGTCCTTAAATCACCACTAAGTCTAGTTCCTAGGAAAATGAACATGATTTTTTTCCGTTCTTTTTGTCAATTTTACTTTATTTCTGACTTGGAGCATCAAGCAAATAAGACAGATGTTTCCAAGCATTGCAGTGCTTTGAGTACCTCTGAAATTGGTAAGGCCACCTACTAATACTAAGTTGTTTTTGAAAGCAGAGTGCCAAAACCACCACTTTGCTCTGAGATAGCAGTTGTCATCTGCAACCTGCATTTGTTAGGCAGTCTGCAATCACCACTTAGCTGACGTGACGGTTGCTACCGCACACAGCAGTAAAGCTACGAGACCTTCTGAGAGCTGAAACACTTGTCTCAATAAGGCTTGGGAACATGTTTAGTTCTCCTTGCACAGGAAAGGTTTGACTTTTTGTGGTGGTAGCCTTTATAATGGATTAGTTGTGAGCTGGAATTTGTGCGCTGGTGTCATACGTGCAAAGCAAGCTCATCATCCACAGCAACCAACGCAGCAAGGCAAGCTGAGCTTCCCCATCCAACTTCACGGAGAGCTGGGGGAAGAAACTGCAGCAAGGAGATGGTAATACAGGCTCTCTGCGTATCCAGTTCTCTGTGTTACTGCTGCCACTAGCAGGGGACACTACCACAGTTCAGAAGGATGCTGGCTACTTTCTGCAGAGTAGGCAGCTTTGCCACCTTCCTGATTTTCCTGGGATCCTTGCTATGACCCTGAACGGAACATGCATGCTATCAGTGTAATTTAGGAAGGGGGATGCTGTGGGCAATCGGGAGCTGGGCTGTGTAACGTGGTCCTTACAGGTCGTGTTTGTTTTCTGCTCCTAGAGGTCAGTGGTCTCAGAGCGAGACTATGAGAGCTTGGTGATGATGCGGATGCGCCAAGCAGCAGAGAGACAGCAGCTCATTGAGCAGCTCAAGCAGGAAGACCAGGAAGAGTCTCACACCTAGGATAAGGAAGTATGGATTCCCTCCACCCATCATTCTTCATTTAAAAAGCTGTTTTCTTAAATTAAGTCAATAAACATCCTTTCTAAAAAATGTTGTAGAAGTGTAAACTGCCCTTAACCCCTAGAGGGGAAAAAATCATGGGTTTCTGAGCATGCACGTTACCTCTTCAGCCTGCGAACTTAGAGTAGTGGCCCAGTCACAGGATTTGAGAGGTACTGTCAGAACAAACCCCAAGCTCTTCAAAGCTTGAAACTTCTTTATTCCTGAAAATTTGCTGATGAGCTGCGAATCCAGGAGGCTTCAGCAACAACAGTTCACAACAGCCCACAGAGAGATGTCAGTGTCTTTAGATAAATGTTTTATTAGTGTTACAGCAGGATCAACACACACAGCCCCAAACAATCCAGCCTTGCAGCTGCTGCTGTTAAGATTACACAGCCCATGCCTGCAATGTTCACCGGACCTTCCTGCGATGCTCTAAGGCTATTGCAGGAAGCGGGTTGTTTATCTGAATGGCAGTCCTGGGCCTGAAAGCCTGACAGCACTAACCACAGTCCCATTTGGGAAAGAAGCTGGCCTTGCTGCTAGGGGAAGGGGCTCTCAGAGGGCAGCGTGTGGGTTTAGCAGCCGCTGCTGCAGCTTCCAGAGATGACAGCAGGCCTGACGTGCTTGGCCTGCCCTCCCCGGCGCCAGCCGTCGTGGCCTGGGTGGCAGCCTGCTGTGAACCCTCGCAGCTCAGCGCATACTTTTCTGCCCTCGGGAAGAGACAGGGAAGTCTATTATTTGAGCTCCCTCCAATGCGTGCTAAATAGAGAAGGATTACAATGTAAAAGAGTAGTATTTGCCACACTGCCATTTGGGTGAAGGGATAGTTAGACCCATCTGTTCTCTGTATGTGATTTACCTTTGATCTGGACTGGGCACACATTCCTCCCCTAAGGCCCTGTGCAATGGCAGGGATGACAAGCTCCTATTAGGTGAAGTTTTGCCTCCATGGCATTCCCCCACGTACACCCGCACAAGCGCCTGGAGCCCGGGCCAGAAAGGAGCTGCTCAAGGGAAAGTTTTGCTGTCAGTTCGGTGAGAGATGATCCACAGCACCACAGTCTGTCCGGGCGGAATGCAGAAGTCTTCCTTGCTATTCCTTGTGCAGGCACCACACCAAGGTCTGGCCCACACCTGTCATGCTGACCACACGGTAGCCACGGTTCTCCAGCTTGTCCAGGACTATGCGGGGCGCATCATTCACATAGTACTCCCAGCTGCAAGCAAGTAAGAGAAGAGGAAGTAAGATGAGGTGAACGAGACAAGGGTTTCCTCCTGCAAATGACTCTGGCATCACTAATAAACCAGTATAAGACATTGCGATGACCACAGCTCGCCTCCAGCCTGCCCAAATTGTGGTCTTGCTTGACTAGATGGTAGAGGCCAAAAGCCACAGCTTGCAAACCAGAGGGGAAAGGCTGTCCAGAATGAAACGGTCACCTAAATTGAAGGGTGGTTTGGGATTTGATTGACCAAAGCCACATATTGGCAGGTTAACTGGACTGAACCTGCAACTGAGGGAGTTCACAAGTATATATGGTTGGGAATACATGGAAAAAGGGGATACTGACTACAAAGCAGGGAGGGAAAAAGGGCAGAGGCTTCAAATACAGCATCTTTGGCAACTATAGCACAGAAACGGCCTGAGCTTTTCCTTGAGCCTCTCGGTTACTGGGAAGTTGCAGATTTGAGAGCTCACAGGGCCTTATAGCTCGCTGTTATCAGACTGTGTTTGCTGTTGCTTATACTGAGGCCTTATACTTTACCTGCCTGGACCATTTTGGAAAGGAAAAAAAGGAAAACAAAAACCAACAAAAAAGATTCAAATGTTTCCCAGAAATGAAAAAAAAAAAAAAGTTTGCCTACATCAGAGCATGTGTGTGAATAAGGATGAATCAAGTGATGTTTCTGGGAGTCCGTGCTAGAAATTTTGGGGTTGGAAAAAAATGCTGCAGAGTAGGAGTGCAGTGACTGTGAAGTAGGAGACCAGCACAACACGGGCACAGAAGGCGCTGAATTAGGTTGGGAAGCAGCCCCCCAAATGCAGAGCATAACACCGAGTGCTGGGTTTGGCAGCCTTAATGTTCTTTTAACGCGATCTTTTTGGCTGCAGCATTTATTCAAACAGATGGGATAAGCCTCATAATTGTCGAGCTCTTAGATGACTCACAGCGCCAGATAAACTGCTAATGATGGGACACGGCATCACTAAGGATGTTGTTTGGGCATCGTAACAATGACTCTTCCAACTTTGACAGGAAGAACGGACCCCCAGAAAAGACCCCAGGAACATTTCCAGATAAGGTTGCTAGTGCGGGATGTTGTTTGGGCATCGTAACAATAACTCTTCCAACTTTGACAGGAAGAACAGACCCCCAGAAAAGACCCCAGAACATTTCCAGATAAGGTTGCTAGTGCTAAGATTGCCAAATATTAATGGACTGGTGAATACTTTTAAAGCATGAAATAATACTAAGAGGTGAAATCTTTTTATTTTTTTCTCTTTCTTAAGACATTGCTATAATTATAGATGGGGCGTAAAGATAATATGTATTATTACAGGTGCCTTTGAACTTAATGCTTTCTTTAAGAGGTTTTTCACATGCGCTTCAGATTCACAAGTTGAAATTTGTAAATATTATTCCCATTAGGCACAGGAAAGAACTTAGGCGGGGTTAGTTACCTGTGGGAACTTAAAAAAACCTGAGTGGCTGAACTAAAATCAGAAGGAAGGTTGGGTTGTTCAGGGCCTTAAACACAACCCCACATTGAGTGAAACAAAAGATCATGTATAACTCATATCAAATACGACATCTCGGCAACCATGTGGGCTGCAGCCATATAGGTTGAAGCAATACGGAGTGGCCATGGAAATTTACAAAGTCCTTCCTTCCAGCTAAAAGCCAACAGGAGACATAAAATCACCTGAGAGTAGACAGGACCTGTGCACCTGCACATCGTAAGGACGTGGCTCCAGCTCTTCCAGGTATGCCCAGGTGAGCTCACGCTGCACATGGGGAGGAGATTGAACTGCAACAGATGTATCCTCCATACGCAGCTATTTTGGGGGATCAGTCAATCTCCTCATAATGTGTCCAGTTGTTCTTTCAGCTTCCTTAGTGATGGTTTTTGGCTATGCTCTGGGGAGCAGCTAAATGAAAGTATTACCAGGTATCTTGGACCCCAGCTCCCAGAATGAGGTAAAGAGGTAGCATCCCTTTTCATTTAAGAGGAAGCAGTGTTGACAGACATCACAAGAACAAGACATGCCTGGGACAGTGTCCAACAGTCATCCTTCCATCCACCCATCCCCTTAAGTCTACGCAAGCATGCAGACTGCCCTCAGAAGAGCATCCTCTTCTGCAGCAGGACAGCACCCAAGGGTTTATAATTTCTGGCCCCCTTGCTGATAACTAGGAAAGAGCAGGCTGGTGTGGAGCCTGGTTCTTCCCTTCTTGAACCCCAGATGCGCCTGGGCTTCTGCCCCTAGGCGGCAACAACGTGTCCCTGCATGTCAGCAGTTGATGGGACTTGATGAGGTGACATTCGCAGCAGCTAGTGCAGAGCTGTATAACAGGATCGTTTCCTTCCCTTATTACCGGGAATTAAGTAGTTCATTTACACACAACAGCGCCGCAGCTGGTCTACACCACTTAGACCTTTTCTTTCAAGCTCCCTCAGAGCTCATCAGGTCAGGTTCTCAGAACCACAGTGCTACGGGAGCGACAAGATTGGTGGCACCAGCTGAGCTTCCCGTTGGTGAAGTCTCTCTTCGAGGTACACGGAGGGAAAGCCTGCTAGGTGGGGGTGCTGAAGGAGGACTGCTCAGCCGTCCTGGGGAAAAGCTCGGGCTTTCTGTCTGCGCTCTGCCAGGAAAGGCAGCTCGCCTGCTGGCGTACGGCGTGGCCCTGGCCCTCGGAAGGTATTTCCTCCACCTCCTGTTGCTCAAGTGCGAGCAGGGAAGATGTGCCACAGAGATCTAGAAGAACTACCCTTACTCTAATTCCAGTCATACCAAAAAGCAGGTGGGGCCAGACCACGCTGAAAATATTTATGGGCCACTTGCTAGCCACAGATTGGTGAGGAAGGGCAGAAAGGCGGCCTATTTACCAGCCAGGCTCTAGCAAGAGATTCTAGGGAAAGCTCACATCCCTTCTCCACAACAGAAGTAAAATCTTTATAATTTTGCACCTCCTCCCTGACTGTCAGGACAGAGAATAATTTTATTTATCTTTCCCTTGCCTTCTCTTCCCCCTGAATCCTAGAGAGTTGTTCCCATCTCTCAGGAGCCAGCAGCACTTTTCTTTCCCTTTTATTTTTTCCCTTCCGCAAGCCTCGTCTTTTATTTATTTATTTGTTTATTTTTTTCCTCCTCGCACCTCTCGTTGCATAACTCCCTGTGCGCTCCTGGTCTCGCCTTTGCAGGCAGCCGCACGAAGCTGCCGCTCCTGCTGATCTTGTTGCCGCCCACAGGTTTGGAAATAGCAGCGCAGAGACAGCTCTGCCGCCAGAGCCACCCGAGCCCTGCTAGGCAGCGAGCTGAGCGGCAGAAGGGGTACGAGATCAGTGTTCCTGCAGAGGCAGGTGGGCAGTGGTGGCCTGAGTTTGCACTTGGAAGGGTTTCTCTTTGTCAAGGGCCTCCAACCGTTTTGTTTTTCTCTTTTTCACTTGCTCTTCCAGATCATTCAGTGTGTTTTTTTGTTTTGTTTTGTTTTTAATGCAGCAAGAATTGAGGACTTAGACCTCGATGTTTGCCAGGCTGGTACCGCATGGGTGGGTTTTCCTGGTCCAGCTGATAGAAGCTGCAGAAGAGAGTGGGAAGGAGAGGTTTCCTTCTGCTTAACACCTGGTTTTCCTCCTCCTCCTCCTCTGCGCCACGGGGCGAATGGGCAAGATCCAGCAGAAAACTATCTATCTCCTCTCCTCTGTTGTTTCAGTTTGCATTTGGGGGTTTATTTTTCTTTTTTGTTTGTTTGTGTTTGTGTTTGTTTTGTTTTGTTTTGTTTTCTCTAGAAAAAATAGAAATATCAAATGGAAGGAAAAAAAAAAGTGGGACAAGATGTAAAGAACATCAACAACATTTACAAGTTGCGCTCTGATGAAGGATGGTGTCAAACTCAGCGTGGGCAGAGATGCACAGGGACATGGGAAAGCGTAAAATATATGCAGGTTGAAATCGGGCAAATGGGTTGATGCCAAAGAGGGGAATGGGGAGTAGCTGTAATTCTGCAGCCGAGGGAGTGGGGCTTCAAGTTGGGCACCCAATAAAAGGGAGAGACCTCAGAAAAACCACAGCAGAGGGTACCATGCGATCAGATAGGCTGGGGATCAACTTGCCAGGTGGCATGGCAGCAGAAGAGAACGAGTCTACACTTTGTGAACGGTTTGTATAAACACCTCTAAAGGGCAGCTTCTCCACACAGTTCCCCCTTGGCGAAGGACATTTCAACTCAGATTGTTTGAAATGCTTTGAAAATTGCCAACAAAACCTATTAAGAGGATCATCAATGTAAGCTGCTCCCAGAGGAGACCTATGGACGAAGAGCTGTCGTCGACGTGTTGCTCTATGTCACAGGACAGAGCTGAGAAAAGTAACCAGGTATTTCAGGTCTGCCAAAGTGTTATCCAGCCTTTCTATTCATCTTCAGCCTAAACCTGAGCTTAAGGGTGGTTGTGCAGTACAAATTTACTGTAGCAGACAGGCAGGAAGCTCTGGGGACACTGAGGAGAGGCAAGAGCACGAGACGTAGCACAGGAACACTTACAAGTGATTACCCAGCATGCTTCTCTTGGTGGCCCCCAGGTAGTTCATCAGGCTGGGATCCGAATGTTCATCTCCCACCATGGTTGGGCCGACCTCCTGTGGAGAAATGCAGCAGAGCACATGAGCCATGTTCTGTAGCATGGCCACCCCTATTCCCATTCCCTAGTGGCCCTGGTAAGAGGTTGTCCCTGCTCCACAGGGACCAGGTTTACTTCATGACCACTTCTGTCCAAGAAACAGCCATGCATGAGGGATAATGACAGCTCTGGAAAGTCCCAGTCCTAAAGCCATGTACTGGTTTCAGGCACAACCAGGGGAAAATGCATTGAGAAGGGAGCAGCTCCTCAAAGGGATAAGGTTTCTAGCGCTGTATTTCAGATCTCACTGGTATCTGATGCAAACTCCTTTGCTTGGCACTGGGGAGCCCTGTTGCTGTGTCCCACCTCAGAACCGAGCCACCTGAGTGGTCCCCAGGCAGAGCCTTGGTGACTTGCTCCCAGAGGGCCACCTGCTGGCTGAGCTCCCACTGGCGCTGATCCCACCATGTGATGAGCTGTACCAGATCTGTTCACCTTGGCCGGGCAGAGCCCAGCCTTGGGAATGCGAGAGAAGGCACCTGAGGCTGGAACATCAGGGATTGACAAGGAACTACCAGCGTCTCTCGAAACCTGAAGGATAGCAGAGGAGCTGGGGGTAGACGGCCAGGATCTGGCCATCTACGCCATCAGAGGGACTTCCCACATGTCACAAGCGGTATAAGATGAAACACACCTGCATCACAGGACCCACAGCTCGCCCTTCCTTTCTTGATGCTGACATGGGTGCTAGGATAATACCTATATAAATACCTGAGAGGAGAATGTAATGAAGATGGGGCCAAACTCTTCCCAGAGGTGGCCAGCGACAGGACAAGATCTTCCAAACCTGCCTGGATGCCACCCTGTGCCACGTGCTCTGGGGGTCCCTGCTTGAGCAGGGGGTCGGACTAGATGATCTCTACAGGTCCCTTGAACCTCAGCCCTTCTGTGATTTGCGCTGCAAAACCCAGCCCTGCAGCCTCGAGCAGTGGTTGCAAAACCCGGGCTGCTGGTGCTCCACACGCTCTCCCGCAGCGATGCACCCTTGTGAGAGCGGGTGAACCGCTTGGCACCCAGAGCAAGCGCAGCAGCATGGGAAGCAGCGCGCTTTGGCCTTGCGGTTAGTTTAGCCGTGAAGCGGGCAGGCGGCTGAGGCAGGGAGAGCGGCTCCGTTACCGTGCGCAGTGCAGAAAACAGAGAGCTTGCAGCAGCCTGGAAAAGCTGAGGTATGTGTGCTTTTTAGGAAAGCAGGAAAGCAAGAGGAGGGTTTAGCAGGGCAAAATCCTTTTCCTCCAGCCCTGATCTATTAGTCAGCTGACAAACTGCAGGTGAATAAAGTGTGAGCCCAGACCAGAGCCAGACTAGAAAGTGTTCAAGCAGTTCAAGCAGTTCAACAGTTAGCTGTGCAGCAAGCAGTCGTGCTCCTACAGCTAGCGGTCCGGTGAGCTGGAAAAGATAGGAACGGGCAGAGCAGAGAAGCCTTTTCCTAGTCTAGAGGCTGGAGCTGCTCTCCCTGCAGCATTCCCACCTCCTGCAGCCTGAGCCAGTCATCACTCCAGCTGGACACAGGCCATGCAAAAAAAAAAAAACAACCCATGCAACTCACAGCCTTCTTCTGTCCTGACTGTTGCCAGGAAAAAAAAAAAAAAGGCTGGAATTTCAATCGCTCCCTGCCCAGATGGGCTGTTTTCAGCCATGGCTCAACACCAGGTTTAAGGTCAGAAGTGTTTGCTCTGTCCTGTTAAAAAAGCAGAGGCTCCAAAGTCGTTGGGGGCCTATTAGGGAGCCATGTTCCCACCCGGACTTGCTGCCTATACAAAGGACAACTGTATCTCTCCAAAGTCGCAGTTCTAAAGCATAGGTTTCAGGTACAACCAGGGGAAAAAAGTATGCCAGGAACATCCCGATATCCCTCCGGGGCACATCTGCATGGGATCTCCCAGAGGGGCATGCTGGAAATGTGCCTGCAGTGTGGCAAAGCCAGCTAGCCTTGACCCAGCAGCAGTGGCAACATTATAAACCTCAGGCTCACTAGCTGCTGAACAAAATTAGTTTCTCCAGCCCGCAGTGCCGTGGTCTCCCTGTGCTATTAACTCTGCTAGCCAAATAAAAGCTAACCTGAGTTGCCTGATCACCCTATTTGTGGATGATCCCAAGCCACTCATTGCTTGTGCAATAAGCAGAGGTTTGCCCATACAGACCTGCTTCCAAGCAGTGTTTTCAAGTAGCACTGTGGCGCTAGGAGATACGAAAGTAGAATATCCAAATTGCTCATGTTTTCCCACTGGGTTTCAGAAGTGTGTGAAGGAAGATGTTCTTCAACCATGCCAGGCTACATCCTTCACTGAAGTCCTGCGACTGTGCCTGCTGCAACAGGGTTAGCAGCAACTGCCCTGAAACACTGCGCTGTGGCCTGCCCAATAAGTAAGAACTAACACTCTCTCCTTGTCACTGTATCCGAGTAAGAGGCTACTGCTCTCAGCCCGGTTCTCCGAGCCCCCACCGAGGAGATGGGACGCAGGACGGCCAGGCTAGAAGCGCCGTTTGCCATCCCTGCGCGTCTCACCCGCTTTTGGCACGGGCAGCCGTTGCCCCTTGCCGGCGAGGGCAGCCAACTCTGCTCGCCTTGGACCCCTG